TGCTTTTATTCCCTTCAAAATCATGTTTTTTCATTAAAGCAAATTTGATTGCTTATGTTGTGCTTGTCCCAGCACACTGACTAACATGGCTATCAGTACAATATTGCACATCATGGCAGGTATTGATCACTAGATGAAGAAGCTGGATGCGATAACAACAACTGACAGCATCTGTGGCAATAAAGCTATAATTCAGTTATTGTAGTAATCCTAGTTATTGTATTTGCCATTATTGGGTTTGTAGCTTTTGCATTTTAGCAATATTCAAATACTAGGTACTAGTAGCAAAACAGTAGTGCCACATTGCAGATTGGAGATATGTACAAAAAGCAGAAGGCTGCTAGGATGTCTAAAATGAATTAGTGGATTACTTTGTTAAAGATTATAATTAAAAGGTTGCATTAAGTTATGTAGGCTTTAGAAAGCGTCCCTTGAAGTAGCTTACTAAGTCAAAATCTTGAGAAAATAAGTCATTATTTTGGCCTATTCCAGATAATAAATGGATAAAAAGTCTTTTTTTCTAGCTGGTGGGAAACAGGTTTTCATACAAACTGCATGTGAATTAAATATGTAGTTGTGTTTTAGTGGTTAAATGTTAATGATAAAGTTGCGCTTGTGTTCATTTGCATAGAAGTTCTTGGTAGATAACTCACCAAATGGCAACCTCCCAGGCATAAAGTGTCAGTAGACTGTGGGGAGTTATTGCCTCTCTTACTAAATCTGCCCTTTGGTTCCCTAAAGAACCTTTCAATTGAAAGCAATCAATGTATGAGAAGAGCCTTTATCGCGTTTAAAGAACGTCTACATGATGTAAAGGTTCTAAACCAATTCAAAGTATTCCCTTGAACACTAACTCGAAGCCAAGAATCATTCAGGGATCTTTTTAAGAGTGGAAAATGTAGAGAAACTCAGAAAGAATGAAAGTTTGACCTTAATTTTCTTTTCCCAGATGCTAAAAAACTGGACACTAATAACTCAAACAAACTTTTCAACAACACACAAACAAAGGCTACAATCCAGTAGTCCAACCTTTTTCAGACCTCCACATGCCTGCATTATTCCTCATTGGCTTTGTTTACATGCAAAGACTTTACATGCAATCCGATTGAATACATTCCGATTATAGATTGCGGCTGAGGTGTTTTTATAATAGTAGCTCATGCTATTCAACAGTCTGATGGAAAATCTCTGTTTACATGCACACCACAAGTAATTAGATTTAGAATTACGCGCATACATGAAGTACCACTTAGTGTACATGTTGCCATGACAACAAGCGTCACGTCCAGTCAGCGTAAGATGAGCAGCAGTGAGTTACCTGAGTTTTCAGCTGGCACGCTTGTGTTTTAATTTACTTTAAAATTATGGCAGCTCCAGGAAAACGTACTTCACGTGTACTTATTAAAGGCGGGTGAGAGGAAGACGTCAACGTTCTGAGACACATAAGCTGGACGGCAGTCCCACCGCCATCTTTTAAAGTTGAATGTGTTGAACATTATACACTTTCGCTATGATGCAAACACACTTGCGCAGAACGTACTTAAACATTCTCATTGGGAATGCAATCACATACAGGCGTTATTATTCTTCTATTTAACAATTATTTACAGGATTACCCACCTCGTTCAATCAGATAGAAATTGTATTCCGAATGGCTTCAATCAGACTAGCCTATTCCGACTGAGGTGCTCACATGGACATATTCTATTCCGACTGAGCTGTTAGTTGGGGTATTAATGGATTACTAGGCTGCATATGATTGCTCAGCTGCTTGGCAAGTTAGCTCAGGCCTCTAAAAACTTACTACAACCACAGGGCTGTTTTGGATTTTTACCCAATTATCTCCCCAATTTAGTCGTTTCCAATTCCACCCGCTAGTTAGGACTCCCCCAATTACACGATGCTATCAACGCTAGGAGGGTGAAGGCTAACACAGGCTTCCTCCGAGACCTGTGAAACCAACCACCGCTTCTTTTCGAACTGCCGCTCACGCAACGTCACTGGACAACTGAACGCACTCGGAGGAAAGCGCCAACCGCCAGATCTGTTACGTCAGCTAACAGACGCCTGCGCTGACTAGCATCGCGTTGAGTGATGGGGGGAGAAGGAGGGGCCATCCTACCCACCCAGAGAGAGCGAGGCCAATTGTGCTCTCTTGGACTCCCGGCTACGGATGGCTGTAGCATCACCAGGGATCGAATTCGCGATCTCCTGATGATAGGGCCAACGCTTAGACGGTTGCGCCACTCGGGAGCCACCACAGAGCTGTTTAAGAAAGCAGAGGGAAGAAGGAACAGGTGTGAGTGATCAGCCAATTACTCCACTCCTTATCACAGTTTACCCTCTTTGTCCAGAGGGTAAACTGTGATGACTGTGTGAAGAAAAATATGCCCTCTTAAAAAATTACTCTTGTCTGGTGCTCACTAAACTCCTCCTGAGATCAACCCAGCCGAGAACCCTTAGGGCCTTCTAGGCCTTCAAAGAATCAGAGAAGGCCTAATGATTTCTGTGAAAAAAAGTCTTATTTAGTTCATTTAGTCTCAGACAAAACTCTCAGCAAGTATGTTATTGAAGCTTTTCTATATTTGTTAACAGTACATGTACTGAATGTTTATTACACCATTGTTTGTGGTGTAGATAGATGCTGCTTCCTACTTTAGCCAAATGTTGTAGAATCCTACTATAAGCAACTAACTTCGTTTACGAGAGGGCGGTAGTCCACAATCCACCTTAACTGTGAGAATAATGCTATTGTGGTGACAGCCACGGTGTGTGCAGGCAACCAGGAGCTGGTGTGCAGGGAAGAGGCTCAGTTAAAAAAAAGATACTGTTTATTGTTGTTTGTGTTGTTCTGTTAGTTTAAAATGTGTAGTGTATGTTATATGTGTTATTCTGTGTTGGGTAAGTTGGTGTTTGTGAGTGTGGAAGTCACTGGTAGCATAAAGTGTGTGGCTGGCGGTGACCTCCCCTGTGGGTTCAGCGTTATGTATGCCTTTCTACCTGCTAAGTTTAATAAAAGGGCTCTTCTCAAAACTGAATCACTGAATTCATTCTACTGTTCTTTTGACCGCTGTTGCACTATGTTAGCTAGCTATCCCCTCCTCCCGACATCAAGGCTCACAATGTTTCCCCACAGTTGTGCTTTACAGGTATGGCGCACAATATGGCACACAAGAAATATGCAAAGATGACCATGTTGACTCAGGCCGGAGTTTGTGTAACCTCCATTTCTTAAGCACAGCCCAGCAGTTAGCTAGCTAACTATAGGGTATGGATATAACGTTAGTGCTGAGCATTCAAATATTGGTCACAATATGTTCATAACCTAGGAGGAAAGCCTGAATTCTTGACCATTAGCAGCAAAATGTAATTAGATCTCTAAAACTCTAAATTTATTTTAGTGGATATGAATAGGTTAAATCAGGTCATACTTTTTCTATCAGCAGAAGGTGTAGTTATTGCTCCGGTGTGGTCCTGCCAGGCTCTGAGAACGAGGCCTGGAGGATCTAACAAAGTGTGACCCTCGAGAGCTGTCTACATATGCCAGAGGAACCAAATTAAAGAAACCACCAAACAACAGAAGCAGCCGTGTTGCTGTGGAGAATACCCGAGCAAGCAAGTCGATGTAAGAGGTGAGATGAGGAAATAAATAAATAACGACTGCAAAATGGAACGGAATAATTTGGTGTTAAATCTTTGCAAATGAAATGCAAATGCCTGCCCTCCTCTCTCTCTTTCTCTCTCTCTCTCTCTCTCTCTCTCTCTTTCTCTCCCTCTCTCTCCCTCTCTCTGCCATCCCTCAGTGTTGGACTTGTTTGCAGTGCAGGGATCATTTAAAAGTCTAATTTATTTCTAATGAAGTGGGGAGGCTTTGATATGACGCTGTGAGTTGGAAGGAGCTGACAGCAGAGAGAAAAGCCATGTTCCTGTGTTAGAGGAGCAAAGTACAGCAGCTTAACAAACAGTCTTTCTCTTGCCCTCAGGATACAGTCATATCCCTCTCTACTAAAACACAAGAAAAGAGGAATAAGTGTTGAATATTTTATTCAGCACAAATGGATTGATTAAGAAAGGTACAGCACTGTTGAGTTGTATAAAATAATAGTGCATCATAATGTTAATGCTTTTTTTCTGTGGTCTTCTTTATCTAGTCTTTGTTTTTGGCCAAAAGGTCAAAGCATGTCCATGATTAGACTTGTTCATTCTGATTTAAATGAAAGCACATTCACTTATACACTTTTCCATGAGTTGGAAATGGATTATGGATTGAATTAAGTGTACTCAAAAAAATAATCATTTTCTTTTAGGGGTAATTCCACCAAGTTTTTTAAAATATCTGCATTATTAAATGCTTAAGATATAAACAAAGTCATTAAGTGTGGTGTCATGTGAAATGCTCTGTTGTAGAGAAACTTGCAGAGTCAGAATTGTTCACAGTGGTAGTGATAGGAACCAGACGTCCAAACTGTTGAATGTCTCTAAAAGCAATATTACAGAACGTTCTTGCATCAAAAGATTATGAATACACTGCCTAATGCCTGAGACATTGTTTTGAGTATCTGGCCCAAAACATACCTATTTACAAAGAAACTTAAAACTTAAAAACTTAGAAGATGAGTAAATTCACTTGTCATTTTGGCGAGTAAATAAAATGGATAGTGTTTTACAATTGAAATTGCATTTGAATAGTACACTACAATTGAGTTATAAACATTACAACCCCTAGTTCCTATCACCACCACTGTAAGTAAGTCAGTGTTTCTCTATAATGCACCTTTTTGTGTTAAACCACTTTAAATTACTTTGTTTACATCTCATTGATTGAATTATTTACATTTTTATAGAGATTTAAAAAAATTGGTGGAATTTACCTTTAAGTGCAATACAACGTATACAATGAAACTGAGAAAAGGTAATAAGTGAAGTGAATCTCGCAGCTTTTACCACATCCTGTGTGGCCATGAGTAAATAAGTGTGAAGAGAACGTGACCCTTTCACTTCACATGCATATGCTGTGCTTGCATTTCCTACAAATCCTGTAGTGCTCACTGACGGATCCTCTGGAGGCTCACTCAAAATCTTCCAGTAGCCTGCTGAATCACTGAGGTAAGGCACAGGACCGTAATGCCTGATAGAGTGCTATTACATGCAAATTTGTTGCATTTATTCAATTCGGTTCACTTCCCTGGTATCAAAAATTCCACCCCATCCTTTGGAGAGCATTTATGAGATGCAGGCAGTTTAATATCACAAAGACACTGGTTAATTAGATCAAGTTAATGTGTCAGCAATGTTAAAATTTAAATGTTTTGTGCCTCGAGGAGCTGTTCATTATCATCTGTCAGAGGCAAACAATAGAAGATTCACTGAATTAAACTGAAGCTTATAAGCAAAGCAGAACCCCTTTAAAAGAGTCATCAAAACATCATGAACTGTAGTGGCACCTCTTGCTTTGCTGTGTTCTGTGAGATGTTTTTAAATGCGCTGATTAGTAGACTATGGAATTTCAAATGTTTAGATTAATATATCTACAAGGGCTCCCGAGTGGCGCAACCGTCTAAGCGTTGGCCCTATCATCAGGAGATCGCGAGTTCGATCCCTGGTGATGCTACAGCCATCCATAGCCGGGAGTCCTCGCTCTCTCTGGGTGGGTAGAATGGCCCCTCCTTCTCCCCCCATCACTCAGCGCGATGCTAGTCAGCGCAGGCGTCTGTTAGCTGACGTAACAGATCTGGCGGTTGGCGCTTTCCTCAGAGCGCGTTCGGCTGTCCAGTGACGTTGCGTGAGCGGCAGTTCGAAAAGAAGCGGTGGTTGGAGCTCAAGCCCAGAGAAGTCAGTGGCGTTGCTGACATACGGTTTCTACTGTGCATAGTGCAGTATTAACTTGCTTTTGTGGGGGCAGTGGAGAATTATGTAAATTGACAATGGTTTGTCAAGCATTCTCAATCCCATGCAGTCCTTTACACTCAGGGAGTCTTTTGATGTTATTATGCACTGTAAAGGTTGAAATTTCATTATATGTATATATATGTATTATTTGCTAATGCATTTTTTGGCAAAGTGGTAAGCATAGTAGCATCAGCATTTTACAAATCACTGCCATCTGTTTTTATTTGCATTTCACATTATGTCCCAACTTTTTGGAATTGAGGTTTGTATGTATAGCCTTTGCATATATAACTTTTTTGCTTTCTGAATGTCTATTGTATTAGAATGTCGCAGTCACAGTCATGTAGCGCATCGGCTAATGCAGATCTGATCTATGTGCTTTCATAGTTAATATGTGCTTTCATAGATAACACAGGCACACAATATAGGTAAAATATAGCAACTAACTGATCACTTTGTTCTCAGTCAGTACATAATATAACATTCTAGATTGATATGTTTTGGAAATAAATAAATAACCTGCCTCATCCACAAATTGTGAATAATATTTTTGTGGTGTAAATAGAATGTGATTAAGAAACAAGGGATCAAGCTTGTTTTAGTGAATACCCGATTCTTTAAAATATGCCTGGATTGGCGATCACTAGACCAATAGAATAGCTACTTGAAATAAAATCTTGTTACATCACATTACTTGTTACTTTATAAAGTTATCGATTGGGTTACGGGTGCTTGATATGATGTTCTCCTTGAACAGACTTACATGATGAGACACTGTCGCTTCCTGAGACTCATCCTGCTGGCGGCTTTGGTGATCTTTTCATCTTTGAAGACATTAAACTCAGTGGAGGAGCTGGAGAAGACCGGCTTTGGCACACCACCTCCTAGACATGGTCTTGTGCTGCTTGTGTGGTATGTGAATAATTGCATTGACAACAACATGGTGTCTCTCTGTAACCCCACAAAAGGAGATTACGGCTTCCACGAATTCAAGAATAGAGGGCCGAACAGCCTGCTCCCAAAGCTGAAGGATAAGATGTATGGCTACTTCACCTTAGGAAACCTTCATTACAAACATGCCACTGACCTGCCCTATGAAGTCAGGAAATACTACAATCCACATGATCCAAAGAGCAACATGGACAGAGTGATTGTCAAGTATAACAAAAACAAGAACACAATTGAGGAGGTGTACATATCAGAGCACTATAAGAAATCAAAGACGTATCTTCTTGGTCCACAACTCATCGAGGAATTAAGGCAACAGGCAGCTTTTCGTATTGTTCCTGAAGCCTTTAGCGAGATATTATAAACATTTAAAAGAATGTTTTGTGCTTATTGTTATGAAGATGATTTCTATTGATTGTAAGCACCTATTTGCTGCTTAATTTAGTGAGTAACATTTTATTTATAGGCTTTTTACATAGGGACTTTATAACACATGCATAAGCATTAACATTGTATAACGTACTTGTAAAACAATATCTAAATATTTATAAAGACAATATGTGTTATTAAGTAAATTATATTTTATTGGCATGAAGGCCCTGAAGCTATGACAGATTTTGATACCCTTGAACTGATCATTTTCATACATAATTGTTAAAACATACAAATATATGCACATATGAATATACATATGCATATATACACAAACATTCTGTGCTTAGTAAATTTGCAAATAACTTGTTTTTAAAAGTACTTAAGCATCAAAAATAAAGTTCTGTGAGTTTCTACAATTATATATTTTCAAGTTCCATTAGTCGCTAATGATGCTTCATCACAGTATTATTAATTGAACAAATTATCCCTCAGTCTCTCAATGCAATGTGATTCACTTTATAAAACATTGTCATCTTGTGATTATTGGCATAAGATATTAGTAAATTCTTAAGTATTGCTTCATAAATATGTTATTCAATGCTTATACATGTGTTATGTAGTCCTTATGAAGGTTTGTCTTTAGATAAAGTAATAGTATGTCCTGTAAAACCGCTGCCCAGACTGACACAAGCTGTTAGTTTCTATTTACCGTGATTGTGTCTGAGCCAACTTTCAGTTCTCAACTTTACATCTGTTCACCCATATTTAGCCACTTCTCTTTTTCACTCTTTCTGTCTTGCCGCCCAAACTGAACATTCAACCTGCTGATCACAGGCAGCTGAACGCTTCAGGGCTAAAGGTGGAAGCATTTCTGCATTTCTCCAGTTTTATGAATGCTGTTGCATTTTCCATGATGGGTGTTCCACCTTGATTGCTCCAGTCAATCGTCAACCAATTATGGTGGTAATTATGATGATGCTTAAGTTTGGAATGAGAGCTGCTCTCAGGGAAACAAGAATAAAAAATGCAAACAAATTTGCCAAGAAAGCAAATTAGCTTGTGTCATATGTGCAGAAGTCACACAAGAAAATATACAACAATGTATATGAATAATGATTAGTAATGGGTGACAAATATACTCTATATAATATAAAATGGGGCAAATGGTCATTTGAGTTTTGAAGAAAAAGCTTTGCCTCAACAGCCAGTCATTAATATTGTCAAAATATGAATTATTAGGTCAAGTACTGGGTTACAATGGCACAGAAGGTGCAAAACCTGCACAGTTCATTCCAGACAAAAAGCAGACCAAAGGATCTTGCTTGTTAATTGAATGCAACTAATTGTATAATATGTGTGTAGTAAACTCACCTGCAGCTCAAAAACAACAATGATATGTGAATAAGGGGTCACTTGTAACAAACTGAGCTATTAGAAATGCCTTTCAAGTCTGCAGGACTCATGCATACCATGTACATCACAATAGTCAACGGCTGATAGAAATCTTTAGCATATCACACATGATAATGAACTTGTTTAGATTTATGTTGAGGTAGAAAGCAAATCACTTTTAATCATATGATTAACAGAGGTGTTTGTATTTCCTCTTTGGTGAAGTTATTTGGCAGCTAACAACAACAAAACAGTACATAGCAGTCTAAGTAATGAGTATTGTTGGTGCAGATGTATTACTGTGATGTTGTTAAAGAGCTATTTGTGTAGTAAAAGATCTGCAGTCAATAAAGAGGATAACATATTGTGGTGTCCACCATGAGCCGTGATGATGTGAGGGGGGATGGAGGGCTTGGGGGTGCATCGCTGTTGTCAGAAGAAAACCTCATATCTCCAAAATGATAACTTTACAGAAAAAGGAAAAAAGCTACTTTTAATGTAAGTCAATGGAACCAGATTTTTTTGGGTCATTTCTTTTGGTCCATTCTTCATAATATTTACATACAATGTAAAGGGCAACAGGCATTTTGAAATTATGTCAAAAACTGACAACAAGGTTTTCTTTTCTTTTGACAGCAGCAGTATATAATATATAGTATATATAGTATATAATATATATAAATATATAGTATAGTATATAATATATATAAATTTTCAAACTCACATTTGGTAGAAGTGTGTGTAAATTTGGGCATAATTGTTTAACAACCTGAAAAAATGTGCTTGATTTGCAATTAACTCACCAAAACTAATATAAATATCATCTATAATACAAATAATATGAATAAAAATAAACAATAATACTAAATATAAAAATAACATTAGTACTAAAAATCTGTGCACACAGCAATCCAGTGCAAAAGTGGATGTACTTATTTTACATGAACATCAGTGTAAACAAATGCTGCGCCTGTTCTATGTTCCATTTTAAGACACATTACACTGTGCTTTTGGGTGATACTACTGACACCACCAAAATAAATAGACAATATAAAACACACAGCTAGTGCAGAAGCATCTGTTATTTTAGGAAAATAATCACACAACACTACTGTTGATATTCTACCATCTTTATAAAGACATTTTATTTATTTCACATTTTATTCTTTCCAGTCATCTTAATTTTAACGCTATAATGTTTGTTTTTTTTATATATATATTTGGTATTATTTGAACAACTGCCCATCCTATGAGGTCTGATGCTGTTGCTTCTTCTCCCTTGATCGGGTGCCCTCTGCTCACCAGCCTTTTGGACCGGATTGACCACCATGGAGCTTCTCACTGTACAATGCTGTGCAAACCTCACCTGCATTAACTGGCCTTTCTGATGATACTACTGCTGCTGCTGCACAGACTCAAACTATCTAATTATAACCATTGCTTCACCTGTTTTTCCCCACTTCTGTATTTTAATATTTTATACTAATGCTGTTTGCTCTCCGTTGTCAACCAGAGGAGGATGGGTTCCCCTTTGCAGTCTTGGTTCCTCTCAAGGTTTCTTCCTCTTGCTCTTAGGGAGTTTTTCCTTGCCACTGTCACCATTGGCTTGCTTATGGGGGCTTGGACCCAGATATTTCTGTAAAGCTGCTTTGTGAAAACGCCTGTTGTAAAAAGCGCTATATAAATAAACTTTGACTTGACTTGACTTTGGTCAGTAGGGGAAGCAGTGCAGTCACTGCTCAACCTCAAACTCCAACTACAAGAACAGCCATTTGCTTCCTGTTGAATCATCTTCATGAATTAGGGTGTACTTGATGTAAATGATACGTAATGAGGTGCTGGTAGGCTGGTGCTTGATTTTACACGCTGAAGCTGATTCATCATTCGCACTTAAATCTCAGTTTCTCATGTCATTACAGGCGAATTTACTTGACTTTGATAAATAAGGGCCGTCGTCACTATCTGTGCAAAACCTCTCCAAAACTTTAAAGGAAATAACATTCTTATTTTGAATGGAAGTTAACTGAAAATGATATTTTTCCAAGTAATTTTGGCTCATTTCTATTGTTTCATTCATTCATCATGAAATATAACACATTGTAAGGGTAAGATGGAGTTAAAAGGTTTTGTCTTGATAGTGAAAGATATGGTTACTAAACATGTAAACAAAGTGCTTTTATATATGACCCTCTGATAAGCACTTTTTCTTCTTGATTTTTTTCATTATTTCAAAACCAACCATTATATCTTCACTTGGGTAGATATCTGGATGGTCACTGTCGCTTTTATTAGGGCAGTTCTCTATTGGTAGGTCTCTATTTTTAACCTGGGCAAAGCTTTTGAGCCCTTTTTTAACCACTGCTATGCTTTTGTCAAGTTTTTCTTTCAATAGCACAAATGAAAATGACATGAAACTAAATTACAAAGTGAACTTGTAACAGCACAGATCAGATGTTTCACTCCCTCTCTCTCTCTTGCCTATGGATAACAGAGGACAGCTTTTTTCTCTCCTTCACCTGCCTTTTTTCTCCTTCAATGGAGCTACGGAGCCTAGTCAGGAGTGCTTTGACAGAATTCTAAAGCAGCAGAATGAACAGATGTCTCTGGATGATTAATGTGCTTCTCTCTCTCGCCTCTCCAGCAGTGTGCCAGTACTTCTCTTCTCCTCCTCCTCCTCCCCATCTCTCCTCCTCACAGTTACTGTGTGGACCTGGAGTCTTCCTCCTTCCTAGACTGTGAACCACCCCCCCAACACACACCTCTTTCATGCTGTCCCTCACTGTGCTGTGAGGTGAAGGGATGATGAGAAAAATTCTGTTGAAACTGAACATTTGAACAGGTGTGTGGCGAGAGAGGCAGCCAGTGAAAGCTCCTATTAGGGATTATTCCTCAGAGATTGCTCTAAAAGTAGAACAAGGTACCAGTGCCCCCTAGTGATGAAGCTAATATCCAGAATAATCAGGCGAAATAAATAATTAATTAAATACTGGGAACTTAAATTGCTGTGCACCATCATTTAACCCTCTAAACACAATCTGACCCATTCAGCACATTATTCTAAAGATGTGGTGACCTTCAGTCTAGAAACCAACAACACAGCTTTCAATGCGTCCTTCAGAGTCTTACAGGTCAGCCTGGTTGGAGTACTGTAGTGGGCAGTGCTCTCCACACGATACAGTGGAGTTTGATTTTATGCTATACTACTAAGAGTCTTCGAGCAAGACTTCTAACCCTGCAATCGCCTCCTTCTGCAATATGATTAAAACTGTAATCAGTCTGGATAAGAACATGTGCCAAATTCTTCTGTGTAAGTGTTAACATCTCTATCAACGAGGGAGCTCGATCACTACTTAAATACAGAGCTGAAGAAAGAAGTTATTATTTTCAGCTTTAGTTTGTTAAATTGTGTAACTGTCTCTGAGAGTTATAGGTCAAAGTACACTTGAGCCCTTGCAATGAAAACAGTATACGTGACATTTTCTGCCGGTGGGCCCTGGCCATTCAAGGAGTTAAAATAAATAGGTCACTAAAATGTAAATAAAGCATAGTTTGGCGTTTTAATGTATAAGCTGTACAAAATGAAATAGAAAGCAAAATAAATGATCATTTAAATAAAGAGTGGAGTGGTTAATATGTTTTTTCGATGGAGAGGCTCACTTGAATAGTGAATTCATTTGGTGAATCTGAAAAAAATAATACTAGCAGTGTGTTATATCTGACAATGCTAATTTTTACTATAAAATGTAGCATTGCTAAGCTCTCCAAAGCTTCATTAACCCTTTAAATGGCCAAATGATCCATTCCTCGCTCTCATAACTTTGCATTGCTTTTCTTATTTTGTAGTTACTGAATAATAAGCCCTAGGACATAATGCACTTGGGAGTTTAAGGATTTAAATCATAGCTAATGTGGACGATGTAAGCATTCAAATGTTGTGTTTTTTAATTATATAGATTTATTATATATATTGTATAGTCATTCAGTTATGGGCAAACTTTTGACTGCATTTTCTTTTGATCACTCTGAATGACCCATATCATGGACGACCAGATTTTCCTCTCTTTTCGGAAATAGAAGAATTTGCTGAAGTATGTAAACATTCAAAATATATCATTCACTTTCTGGTCCATATATAGAAACCAAACTGCAAAAAAAAATACTTTCCTGGTTCATTGTATTTGTGATGCCATAGAAACTAACACATTTACATATATCCACTTACGCAGCCTA